GGGGAAGCCGGAGCAGCTCAGCAGCCTGCTCCACTCCGCTGCACTCTCCCAGCCCATTGCACTCAGCTTCTCCACAGCAGCAGGAACCAGAGTGCCCTGGCCCCAAGGCAGTCTGCTTCCCACCCCTGAGGAGATGAGAGGTGCAGTGGAGGCTGAGGGCGGCATGGCAGAGTGGAACAGCCTACTGCCCTGCCCCATTAATCCTCTGGCTTGGGGGAGGGTAAAGTGGATGGAGAAGAAGCGGGGCCTGCAGGGCGGGGACAAGGGCAGCCCCATGCCCCACGCCCCCCTCATGACAGCCCCGTTCTTTATGCTACAGAGACGGAAGAGTTAAACTTAGCTGTAAATTATTCTGGCGTATGACCCTAGGGATACGATAAGTCCTCATGTAAGATGCAGTAAGTTCAATATCTTTCAAGACAGAGGAGATGGGACTGTGACCAGAAAGCATGTCTTTATGGAAAGGAAATAAAAGGGACTGGATGATGTCAGTTCACAAGGATGACACCTGTAGCACTGTGGTCAGACTCCAGATTCAGAAAACTGGCCTAACTCTTGGTTTGGATAGAGTTACTGCCTTCAGGCTCTGGTGATCTCTCACAAAACTTGGAAGACTCTGTGTTTGACATATTTTAACAGTGCACTTTGCGATTGTGGGAGGACTTAGGCCCAAAAGACCATTGAGCAGAAATCAAGAGGCTCTGAACTGACTAGTTTTCAGAGCTGAGCCACCCCAATTTCTGTCCAAATTAGACCAAATTCTTATGGAGGCCAAGAGGGCGGAAGACTTGTACAAAGATAGGAGAGTCTGTAACTCTGGAGGAGTATTCCATCTTGATTTACACTTGCCACTCTCATTTCCCAAACTGTGAGTTTCAATAATCTAGACAAAAGCGGCGAGGAGTCCTGTGGCACCTTATAAACTAACTGAAGTGTAGGAGCATAAGCTTTCGTGGGCAAAGACCCACTTCGTCAGATGCATGTAGTGGAAATTTCCAGAGGCAGGTATAAATAAAGATACAAAAGTGGTTCAGAGAACAGGATATCCTGCCTGCTGGAACATGGAGGACATCTTGTCTGTGCAACAGCTCCCTTAGGACTGAGAACCAGAGCCTTCTGAGCAAATTAACTTAGCTTATTCACTTTTGTGATGTAGTCCATTTATGAGGATCACACCAGATCACTGTGCCTAATGATGTTCCCTGTAAACTGTGTGTTTGTGCAGCCACTCATGAGAGATTCAGATGCTGTCCAGCTGATTAGCAGAATGTCTTCGGCTAGATTTTTTGTTTCTACTGCTGGTGCATATTCATGCATGCCTTGGTGAAAATAACATTTATTGCGCACACGGACAGAAAAGATTAGAGGGAACACTAGTGTCTATAACTTGTGGTTGCCAGAGAGGCCTTCGGTACACTGAAAAAGCTTTGTAGTCCCTCCTTAGGGTGTTTTCTATCCTGCTGCCCATATAGAGTCCTCAGGAATTACCACATCCTCTACCAGAGAAATCAGTGCTGGATCAGTCTTCTGGAAGATGAAAAGAGAAATTCTAAGATACTGCAGAACTTCAGGACTTGCTAATTCCTATCCTTTTGGGGGACTTTCCCATTCCTTCCTAATAACTTCTTTTTGTTTTCATTTTGCTCACTGCTCCCCCAAAATCAGCTTTTAAAAGCTGGGAACCAGATTCTGCTCTTTCCAAGAATGTAGGAAGTTGGGCAAAGATGGATTAAAGCTACAGACGTGCCCTTTCCAGCCTAACCTATTCTAATTTGAGTGACTGCATTGGCTCTGTAGGGTGCCAGTCCACAGCCAAGAATAACCAGACACACCCTGGCCACACCTCCTGACACAGCTACGCTCTAGGCATACTTCCTGCATCAGGAACTGAAAAGGGGACAGTGGTACAGCATTTCTGGCAGCCAGCGCTGCACTGAGGCAACCCTTTGATCCCTGAGCAGCAACTTCTACTGTGTGACCAGTCCTCTTACATTACTGAAAGGGTGTAAAGAGGCCAGTCTGGCTTTCGGATTGCAGGGGGTAAGACCAGGTGTGCTGAATTGCTGTTCTGCACTGCTAAAAGCACAGCACCTGGAGCAAGAGTGTAGGGGTATGACCAAACCCTGGAGCCGTGGAGACCTCCGTATGGAGTATTTGCAGAAAGAAAAGCATCGCTTAAATGTTTCAGACTGAATGAGAGGCCTGGATCAGGAACAAAAATGTCTCAGATATGAATGTCACAAAATTACAGGTTTTCTAGAACTATTTAGATGCTCCTGTAGATTGCTTGTTTGGTACACTGAGCTGGGTCTGCATCTCATCTGCCTAGGTTTTCCAACAAACTCCACTGGATTCACCCCAGTGTGTCAGATTTCAAATGCAGGCCCAATGGATCTAAAATAATTTGGTCTGAGTAACTTCGAGAATCAAAACATACTGCCTGTGGATGTTTATTTTAATCTAGGAATATACAAATAACTACTATTCCAGCCCCATCCACCTTTTTCCCCATATAAACCAAGTTTTTAATTTTGAAAATTAATTGTAAAGGATAATGTCAAGGTTCTTAAATTCAAAATTTGACCTACTTTTCCCCTTTTGCTTTCAAAGTCCATGTTTTTCTTTATATACACTGTTTCCAAAACAAATGCTTCATGCGTTTTTTCCCTTGAAAAGAAAAATTAACACACAATGCCAGCCCACAGCTCCCATTCATAAACTCATGGTAACAAACACAGAACTTGAAAATGATTAAAGAAAAAACAATTTTGGCAAGGATGTAGATTTCAAATTCAAGCTTTTGAAGGATACTTTAAAAAAGAGCTGCTAAGCAACTCAATTATGAAAAGAAACTGGAGAAGTGTGGAATATTATAAGCCATTTGCCTAGTCTGGGGAGTGGAAATTTTTTGGGTTTCATTTTGTCAGGAGACTGGAAGAAGTTTAAAAAAACCAAGGAACAATTTTATTGCACATCACTTTGAAAAGCATAATAATCATTTTACATCCTTCGGGGCTTGATCCTGCACTCCTTATTCATGTGCATTCAATGGAACTACTCACATGAGAATTGCAGGGCTGAGATTAATAATACGATTTTAAAGCCCCGGCACTAAAAGTCACTTTGGAAATTTCTTACCAGAGGTATTTTCTTTTCTTTTCGTGTCTTTAATCCCTTCACGTTCTGGTGAAGACAATCCCACTAGAAGGAATTTGTCAACTGGCATAGAAGCAGGACGCGCTTGCAAACTTCTGGTTGTACGCCTTATAACTCCTTCCTTGTCTTTCACATCTGTTGGCTCAGGAGTGCCATCTTTAATTTCTGTAGCTTCCTGAAAGCCCATTTTGCTCTTCTTCCTGCCTTTTGCTGGAGCACTTGCTGTGCGTCGGAGAATTCGATCACCGATTGAGCGTTTCCGCACACTATACCCATTGCTTTCAGCAGAATTGTGTTTGGGATTCTTGTTAAACAACCCTTTGAGTCCTATTAGCTGCCTATTCTGAAAATAAGAAAACAACCACACTCTTTAAGTTCAGCCTGTGTTTTAACTGCTGTTGTATACAGATTTGTGAATCACAAATGAAACATCAAAAAGCAAAGCAATGCAAAAATTCACGCCAACAAATTCACATATATTCAGCCTAGGAAACAATCAGCATAGGTCTCCATGAATTCATGCATGTATGAATTCCTCCTCATTAGGAAGGCAGCCTGCCAGAATTACTGTGGCTCTTTATTAGAAGTTTCCTAATCAGAGCTGACAAGACAGTAAGAAATGCTCTGTAGTGACAGGCTAACCTGTTAACGTGGAGTTTTATGACATGGGCCTCATCAAAGCAACATTCCAATATTTCAGAATCTTAATGAAGAATGAAGAGATATGGTAGTTATGGTACATCATGCGCCTGGGAACTGCTTGATAAATCTGTGCCCAGCAACTGTAAAGTGCATGCTAATGAAGACTACCTTAGTGGCTCCTAGAAAGTGCAATATAGTATAACTGGGATTGAGGATTAAAGGACTCCACTGAAAGGGAAACAAATGCAAACATTTGGCTAATATTTTCAAGGCTGTGACAGAAGCAAACAAGATAGATAGCTGGGGTAAGTAATTCTCTATAGTAAAGTCTTTTAAAATGGAATATTAGTTTTCCACCAATCTCATTCAGATAAACTCTTCACCTGGTACCCTCAGTTATAAGGGGTAACTGCACTTGTGTAAATGATGACAAAAAGTGCAGAGCAGTGGAGAATCAGCCCCTAATTCTCTTGTTCTTGCTGCTGCTGTTTTGTGAATTTTTACTTCTCTCTGAAGCATTAGACAGATAGGCAGGACACTAGTCTGACCCAATACCACACCACTGCAAATGCCATGCTCCATATAGGAATCAGTCTGAGCCCACATTAGTTCTACAAGATAGTAGTGACACATCTTAACTCATTGTTGCCAATAGTATGACATAGAAACTTGTGTGGACTATTTTATTTATGTTCCCATACATACGCACCTTTCCATAGATTTCATTGATTGTTATATGAACAAATATGGATGCTTCTGTCAGTCCCTCTAAGTACACGTGACGATAGCCTAATAAAATGGGAAAATAAAGTAACAAAGAATCAGCACTATGTAGTTTATGTGCAGTTAGCCATATGTCTTTTGCCATTTTACATTGCGTATTCAGTAACTGAGCATCTGTTTATTAATAATAATACGGACCCCTTCCACAATATCTTCCATCTGAGAACCTCAAACAATTTCAAAAATATGAATACATTTAGTCTTACAACCCCCTGCAATTTGAACCTCTCTAGTCTGGCATCCTTGGAACCTGTCCAGTGCCAAACCAGAGAATTTGCCAGACCCCGGGCGATCAATGTTGTCTAGCAGTATTACCAATACTTCCACTGCTTTCTGGGCTCTAAGAAGACATTTAGGGGGAAATTAGAGCTAAATAGTAGCACAGACCGACGAGAGCCAGGTCTGGTGTCTGTAAACAAACTTTATGGCACCACAGGAAACTTAGCCACACCCATCATAAGTGGACATCTGGCTAATTAAAATCATGCCAAACCATGGATGTTGTTCGACCAGAGAATGCTGGACTAGAGAGGTTCAACCTGTGGTTGTAAGTAGTATTTGTCTCCGTTTTACAGGTGAGCAGACAAACACAGATGCTGAGACTTTCAAAAGCCCATGGAACTGGGTGTAGCTTTGAAGATCTCCCTCCCCTTCTCCCCCCATCCTCTCCCCTGCTTTCCAGGAAGTCTGTGGAAGATCTGGGCATAGAACTCAGCTGTTCTGACACTCAGTTCTCTGTGCTTTCTCTACAAAACTATCCTTCCTTCTATTTTCAACTAAACATCAAAGACAAGAGAATGGGTAGAACTAACCAGGCACAAGACTGCTGAAGGCCACAGTTCTTTGTCCAACAAAATCTCGACCAATAGGATCATGGTCCCAAACAAGGAATCGAACCAAAGCTATTTCAGGCATGTGGATGGTAAAAGTGAGAGTTTCCTCCCACACCGGGTTAAATCCTATGGGACAAACAGAACAGAAAGTCAGGAAAGTACAGCAGGGACAGCAGATGCTGATGGCATTGTCTCTGAAACACAAGCAGAGGTAAGGGAAACAGCACTCATATAGACATGATGCATGAATGCACATGACTAGTAAAATCTAGAATCCCTCATAGACTAGAAGACAAACAGATGAAGAAGCAGCAACATAGCCATTTCCATTCCCTAAGTGGGAGCTTAGCTTTGTGGCTGATACACAAGAATTGATTTGTATGTGTGGCGGG